GTAGGGCTTGGTTAATTAAGAACAACTCTAAAGAAAAGGAAGGCTTTATTCCCACGACATTTGGTGAATTACATGGGGGCACTGCTCTATTAATCCACCCTGTGAATTGCCAGCATTTCTCTAAGAGAACCAGTGGTCTAAAGTTCAAGTATGTAAGTTTGGTGGGATGTGTTTGTAAAGCTACTTGTAACTATTAGAACCACGTTGTCATGAAATAAGAATCTAATTGAATAATTAAAAAACATTTATTTTCCTCATTGAAAGGAAAATGAATCCATGTTGTCATGAAATTGACTTACTAGATGCACCTATTTTGCCAAATTTGCCAAAAGACTGAGCACCTTCATGATTATTCCTGACGATGTGCTTATGTTTCACTCACAAAAGACATTCAGCATAAAAATGTTTGTGGAAATTTTAAGTTTGAAACCATTTGGAACATTCACAGCTGCAACAGCTTGAACAGACACAAATTTGCAAGTGAACAAAATTAGTGCAGTTAACAGTTAATTACATTTTTATTAATTATTTGATAATAATAAAACAATTTGACACGCGTTACACACACAACAGTTAATTACATACAGAATGACAGAATAATCACCAACTAAAAGTTTAGATATAGCTAAGACAGATCTATGTTCTTGTCATTCCATGTCATTTTATGTTCTCTCTCTCTGTTTGGATCCAGTTTATTAAAGAGGCAACTTGTTTCTTAGCATTCACATTCATTATCTGACTATCATTCTTGGTTATTTGGGCTTCCTGTTTTCTCACCTGTGAACAGTGGTAAACTGTGAGACATGACCAATTGTAAGGCTATTTTGGGCATGAAACATCAGATGTTGTGGTTTTTAGGTAGACTAAAGGAGGGCTGTGTGTTTTTCCCCTGGCTGTCTGTCTAGTCTTAGCTGACTGTTTTGCGTGAGTCTGTATGTAATTAGCATCATAAAGGAAAAAGAGTCCTCACCTCCAGTACCCCTCAGCATGACGACACCTACTGTACGTGTAGAATGATTTTTCTGTCTCTTTTTCCAGGTGCTCGTAAAGAGCTGCAACTGTACTTGTCTGGCTGATTCATTCTGTGACAATGCAGTGTGGGGGAGGAAGGTGAAGCTATTTGCTCGGGACGACTTGGTACTTAAAACTGTTTATTTGATCGGATTTTTAAAGTTCGGATAAGATCTGCGTACACTTACTTTTAAATGCTCATTCATGGTGACTAAAGCTAATTACAGAAGGCACTACTAGGTCTGTATTTGGAGCTTTGTGCCTCACTCCGGCTGAAGTAGATCAGAAGGGGAAATGGCAGAGACGTCACTACATGAAGCAAGCCCAGCAGAGGTGGGCTGCATCTGGACTTCTCCTCACTGATTGGAAATTTCGGATGAATATGATGTGGTGGTATTTCATAAAATAGCCTTGGAAAAACCCAGTAAAAAGTGTCTTTGACCAAATATTTGAGTCACAGGTTTTACTCTTAAGTTGAAGTTATGTTTTTCCTCTTATTTATCTTTATTACCGTAATCCTCCACACAATACAGTGAATGGATTTATGAGCTTTTCTTTTGGATTTCCTCTGCTGTTTTCCCTCCTCTTTTCTTTCGAGCTTTAGATAGATTTCCTCCCAGAGGATCTTTTAATACATTCATGGGGAAATAATGATTCATTTGCACTCACCTTCGCAATTACTCTGATAGAAGATTATTGTCTGATGTTTTTAGACAGTCTTTCACCTTCAACCCTGTCCCTCCATTCATTGATTTTGCCCCAGACAAAGATGTTTTAGGCAGAGGTGGAACAGACCAATATATCACTCTGACACTGCTAGAGCGCAGCCTTGCGAGCCTCTCAGCGTGATTCACCGCTGATTGCTGACAGTCTGTGTCATGGTTTTCCCCGAGTTTAGCTGCCTACGGTTTTTCCATTTCATTGACCTGCTGGAACAACATCTGGACTTTTCAAAACCACACTTCTCATTTGTTTGCTTGAGTTAAACAGTTCCCACGTCAGATTAAATAACTCTTGATTTTGAAAGACTGTAAGAGATTACTTCATATATTCTGGACAACAGCTGAAATTTCCCAAACAACAAAAATGACAATAGAGGGTGGCTGTGAATTCTTAGAATGAGATTTTCCATCAAAGTGCTGAATTCATGTGCATTCCACTGTTTGCTGCTGCTTAGATCTTTAGCAAATTGTCCAGAGTTGGGCATGAAAGAGTTGCCGTGGGCAGAGCTGTTGAGGAGGGTGGGCACAAGAAGCTAAAGGGGAGGAATGGGTGGGTTGGGGGAGAGATTTACTGGTGGTTGGGGGTAGATGGAAAGAGAAAAGGGAAGAGGGAGCCGCGGATCTGAGTTCAAATTGCCAGCTGTGTTCAGAGAGTGAGTAGGAATGTGGCTCAGCGTGGGAATGAAGATGCTCTGACATGCTGAGAGACACTCTTAATTCTTGATGGATGTACGAAACACTTTGGCTGAATGATGAAGACATCCCGTGAGTACGCAAAAAAAAAAAAAAATACTGGAGAGAATTGACCATATCTTTTGATTCAAAGCTTTTGAGAGCGGACAATTTAAGCTTTTGCCTAAAAGATGATGATGTTTTGGTTGTGTTTGCATTATGCTCCACAGATATCAGCTTTCTTTTTCAGAATGATGAAATGAAATGGGGAAGGGGGTTATGATTGGGACAACTGGCTGTGAGAGACAGTGCAAGGCAAAAAACAACCTAGCTTAGCTGTCAGTCAATATTTTACTTAATCGTGGAATTGAAGGGCACCAAACTTTCCTCCCACTACTCTGGAACATATCATATCTAAGAACGGAATTGCATAACTGGTGTTTTTTATTGTGAACGTTGCGTAAACAGAAATGTAAAAGAAGTCACCCATGTCACAGATACTTTATCTGTCCACAGCTTTCGGCATTGTGTTGCAGCCAAACTTGGGTTTCATCTCTTTGGGAAACTGTAATTTTATACTGTACACAGATTTAAAGCTTTGGATTGTGGAGAGCAAACACAAGTTCTCATTCTTTGGCATGATGCCCGCCCAGCCTTTTATCCACAAGAGATTTCCTTAGACAGAGGATGAGAGGACAGAATGTCTCAGTATCATGTTACAGAATGCAAAACAGAGAGGAATTCCCATCTCACGTTACGTTCTCTCAGTGGTTCAACCTACAGCTATGGGACACAAGAGGACCTGGCAGGGCTTTCACTATACGCTGCAGTTGAATAATACTGACCTGATATTATCCACCTGGGAGGGACCTCTGGCTGAACAGAGAGCTCAGGCTGCAGGTGGGAACAGAGCAGAGGGGCTTCTGGCAGAACTCAGATGTTGACTTAAATGCTGGTTAAGTGGGTAAACAGCAGATTTTGTTTTACATCCAAGGACACAGGGGTTAATATTTGTTCAGTTGCTAGTCAGTCTGAAGACCAAAGTCACTTGTTATTGATTTCTGACACAGAAGTAGAGACACTGAGGTGAGTCTTTGATCAAAGTTTTAAAAATGGGAATTCAGCAGGATCTCAATTTCATATATATTTTGTGATAAATGGCTTTCATTCATGTTGAGGTAGAGTGCGCCAAGCACAGATTGGAGAGTTAGACTACTGGTATTCAGAGATTCATTGTGGAGAGTTTATTCACACACACATGTAACATTTATCATGTTTAACACACGTAAATATTCACCTCACACGGACTGAATAATTTAGCTGTTGAAGGTTGATATGGACAGAGTATTTATCTAAATGATTATTTAGGTTAGAAGTGCAACTAAAGCTTCTTTTGATTTTTAATCATCTGAAAGTCAGCTTCTCAGTGAATCTATTTATTGTTTAGGCTGTAAAGAATAGCGGGAAAGAATTTTTCAAGCTGCGTTCCTAGAGCTGTTTTTGATTTGTATTACAATAATATGAATAAGAAAAGACACAATATGAAGCAAATTTATTCTAAAAAATTTTACTGATACTAAAAAAAACATTTGGGAGTATGAAGTGGTTTATAACTATTTAAAGGAGACATTACATACATATATAGATGTGACTCACCAGCTATTTCTGGTTTCAGTTTGCAAACAGGAAACTTGCATGATATAATGTTCTATTCTGAGAGATTAAAGTAGTACTCCAAGAAAAGATTTCTCTATTTTCCTTTTTTGAAATACACTGTAGTAATTGTTGTATTCTATTGCTGAATATTTGTTTCCACCTAGGATGATTTCATATTCTATGATGATGGTGCTGTACCCCTGCCCTTTAGGGAATGTATTCACCCTAAATTACCCCATTAAAGGCTACTGGGACTGGCAAATAATTTAATTTGTGATCAAATCATGAGTTTACTTTTTTTATTAAAGACAGAATAATATAAATTTGTTTTTTATTAATTTACTTACAATCAATTTAATATTTTGTCCCAACACATTATTTGAATAACATGGAGGAAAACGGTTTCCGGACATAAAACACCAGGAGTATATTATACATGTAAAGGTTTTTTTTACTACTCTCACAGCACAATAATTGCATTGCTATTTCCCGTCTTAATGAAAAGCAGCCGGTGTGTTGTGTCACTGGCGTTTCAAACATCATGTCTTTTGGAGGTGATGAATGGCACCCAACTCTATTAGCATTAATGGAAAGGTGCCAACGGCCTGTTTCCTCTCCTCACCATCAGTAACTCTCCAGGCTGCAGACAGCTCCCTGTAGGTCACAATGATCCCCATCGTAGGATTATTTCTTAATTATAAGCTTAGACTGTAAAAGACTTAAAGATTGTTTATTTTGGTTAATTGTGTCTTGAACAAATATGGATTGTACAAAAAAAAGTGCTCTTGTTCCCTCCTTTCCCAGGTCTGTACCTCTAGGATAGAAGGTGCAGAAGGGTTTCTGCTGTTTTGGTTGATGCTCTGGTGATGTTATCAAAAAGAAAACAACTTTACTTTAAATGGTTGAGTTTCACTTTTCATCTCTGTTCTTCTTTTCCAGAAATTGAAGCAAAAGAGGCGTGTGACTGGCTGCGGGCAGCAGGATTTCCCCAGTATGCTCAGCTCTTTGAAGGTAATAAAAGCACTCAGCGAACTCCCACACACATTCATCACAAAGAGGGGACTTATTGTTTGATTAAAATGATAGAGATTAATGATGTAGCATGCCAATACAACAGCTGTACAGTCAAGCAAAAAAGAAAAAAAACATTTTTCTGTTTTGCAATGAGACCACTTGAATGTGGTCCTTTTCAAGATGATGACTGACTAATTGGCCACAGTGACTTCTGGTCTGTTCCCGTTTGTCCACAAAACCATGCATTCATGCTCAGCCTCATTTACACAACAGCTCTCGGGAAGCCTTGGAGCAACGGCTCCAGTCTGCTCTGTAGACACCACAAAAACAACCGAAACGTCAGATGCTTTTAAAGTCTAATCTTGTCCAAGCTACGATTACTACATAAACATGTTCTCTGTGCTTAAAGCCTGAAGTCATGGGAAGAAATCGGTTTTATCAGAGCTTTAAGGAACTCTACTCCCACAGATCTTTGTATTAGAGCCAGACTTTTGATGTGCTTTTGTCCTATAAAGTCGTTTCCTGACAGCCTTTAGATGTTAAGAAAATGTGAGAAGTGGGTGTTTAGAACTTCATGCTGATACTGAGGTTTTGTGTTTAAAACACTATTAATGAGTAAAGTTATTATCAGTGTGTTATTGTGCTTTATAAGTCTCAGTATATTAAAATCCCTGCCCTGCATGGTCTGAGCCTTGTTGAGCCAGTTGTTCATCGTGGCCTCAGTTCTTCTTGATATGAGAAAAGTTTGACATGAATAAAGTGGAGTGTAAGATTCAGCCTGTTAGGTTTTGCAAGAGGAAGCTCATACCCACAGCATTATGTAATGACCACACTAGACTGCTGCTATTTAGGTAAAATCTGCCTGTTCTCATTAGCATCACTTAAAGTTTCCTGGTCTTCTGGAAAGAATGTGGTATTCAGATCTTTTTTTCCCATTCATCATCCTTACTCTCATTTTTTTAAAAGAAGTATCAGGCAAACTTGAATTTCAACACTGCCACTCATTCTGTATGTTTTCTTTCCTCTTAGATTCTCAGTTTCCAATTGACATAACCCCCGTGAAAAGAGATCATGACTTTCTTGACAAAGACCTTGTGGAACCTCTGTGCAGGTAAGCAGATATTTTACACTGAGAAGACAATGCTCTATCCATAAGTCAACAGGACAGCATAGGGTTTCCTTGCCCTAAGGTAGCGTAACTCTGTGAGATTCCATTTATGAAGTCAAAAGTAAAAACATATTTCATTGCATAATATTATAGGTTTGAAGTTATGTAACTTGTATTTGCTCAACTTGGCTATAAGAGTCTCCTAAAGGAAAAGAAAACTTTCCACACTGTATTACATTTATTATATTAACTCAATATGTGAGTGCATGCAGACCTTCTACAGTCCATGCCAACATGAAAACACAGAAGACAGCCCACATTGGGATTTAATGAAATGATTTAACTGTAAGAACATGAGCAAGAATAGACCTTTCTCTATCTGATTTAAGGGCATGAAAACTACTGGATGGGTTTCCCCTCTTATTTGCCAGAGTGTATAAAGAGTGTAAAAATACACCAACCCAACAACTGGTGGTTCCACACACAGCTCTCCCTTTTAGGGCTCATGTACCTTTTTCAAATGAAGATGAAAACAGCACTTCAGCTTCTACTGTAACTATGGTAACAGTCCTAAGAGGGAAGCAGGGGAAGCATTAGGAGGGCCTCAGTATACTGTGACTCTAAACAACCCTAAAGCAACTCATCTAAATTCCAAACTAGCTGCAGGATGAATAGAAGACAATTGGAAACAGTGCCACCTCCAATGTGATTTTGTTCATGACTCTCCAACATCTCTATGGTAACATAAGAATAGCTTTACAGTCAGTTATTCCACCACAGTCCCGGAACAAAAATAAATATCACCCTACATGCCCTTCATGTCTTTGATAGAGCAGAAAGGCAGAAATTACGTACATATGAATGTCATTGACCTCTGGCTAAGCACCCTCCTATTTTAGCAACTTTGTTCAAAGCTCTTTAGGCCTGTGACAAAAAAGCCCCAGCTTAGAAATCCTCTTTTCATTTGTGTCCTTCTATCTTTACTCGCAATCATGGGAACGTTGTGTTGAAATAACTTCTGTCCTCCGGAATGTTGCTGGAGCCTCCATCACAAAACAATGCTGTCAATCCTTAAACAAGACCAACTTAAAGCTTGTGATTATCCCACCTCCCTCCTTCATAAACTCACATACAAGTCTATATATATATAAATATAAAAGTCCGTCAGTGATTGAATTTCTTTAACCTCAAATTCACCTCCCTTCAAACTGCAACAGGCATGTTGTCAGGCCACAGTCGGTTAGCTCCAACCCTGACAGAAAGAGACCAGAGCAACAGACAGTCAGCAGCATTCATTCATTAGATTTATGATATCATGTTATGTTGAAACTCGATTAGTTTAACTTGACGTCTGCATGATAATCCAGAGCAAAAATTGATCAGATTATCTCTTAGCCTGCAGGCAGAGGGGGATGTTTTTTTTTTATTGCTCGTTAGGGTTAATATGATGGTTGTGTGGTTTTATTGTTTTTTGGGAATGGCTCTCATGCATGGGATATTTTCCTTTCAGGCGACTCAACACACTGAACAAGTGTTCATCCATGAAACTTGATGTGAACCTTCCAAAGAAGAAAGTAAGCCATTTTTTTCTCCGTCCTAACAGTCAATGCCCTTGAAAAAGTTGTGTTATCTTACAAAAATTGCCTTGAGTTATGAATGCATCCTGTTCCAACACAAATATAGCCAGGTGTTGTCCTCCTAACCTATTTGCGATGATATTCTAGAACATGCTATTGTTGTCTGCATGCCTCTTATTACTTTTTGTTTGGTCCCTGATTGGAATGTAGCCTGCTGACACGTTAATAACCCTTTCCTGCATTGATCTATTCATGGCCTCACCCAGAGGAATTGTTTGCTGTTGTATCACTGTTGGCTGATTGCACCACTGTATTAATTGTCAGCTAACATGTTCTCCAGCTGTTTCCCGTAGCTGTTGATTACAGGTTACAAAAATAAAAGTGCAATTTAATATAGTAGATCCTGTTCTGCCGGTCTTGAATGTTGGCTTGCATGCACAGACATACAGGTCCGTGTGTGTGTGTGTGTGTATATAGATGCATATAGATGTATATAGATGCATATGATAGATAGATGGATGAACAAACAATTTGTTTTTCTGTAGAGTGAAGACTCTGATGAAGAAGACCTGTTTGCCATCAGTGACAAATGGACCTTCGAGTGGAGTAGCAGGCGCTGGTCCAGGTTACAGGACATTGATTGTCTGCTGAGAAACCACAGAGAAAGCCAAACCTCCCGGGACGTGGTGCCTCTGAAAACCACCACCAGCAGTGAGAGCGTTCTGACGGACCTCAGCGAGCCGGAGATCTCCTCTTTGCACAGCGAGAGCAGCGGAGGCAGCGGCCATCGGGGCCCCAGCACAGAAGACTCGGACTGCTCCAACCGAACCGGCTCAGATTCTGCCGCCATGCCAGACTCCACTTCTCTAACAATGCCTCACATCTCCAAAGAATTTCCTCACTATGGTTCTCTACCGGATAAGCATGGCAAGACAAGCCGCACCCGAGCCAAAGACTTCCTGAAGCGCATGGAGACGCTGCGGTCGCGTGGAACTCTGGTAAAGAGCCGGAAGACGCTGGTTATCAGCTCCCCCGTGCTGCAGCAGGAGGCCCAGGCGCTGAGGACGCTGCGCTGTGTCGAGATCATAAACGGAGATAGCGGCGCTCCAGAGCCGCCGTCCAGCAATGTTGTGCCACCCCAGTTTAGCAGTGAGGGAAGCAGCCATTCCAGCGGCAGCACGGTCAGCACGCCCAGCCTGAAAGAGCGCAAGCCTCACCGAGCCGACCACAAACGCAGCGGCATGTATTTGGAGGACGTGGACATCTTCTCCGGCACTCAGATGAAAAGCGTTGCGGAACAAAACCGCAGAAATGAATTTTGCTCCTACGAGGACCTTGTGGTCCACATTCCTAAAGACCATAAACCAGGAACTTTTCCCAAAGCACTTTCCATAGAAAGCCTGTCCCCGACAAATGGAACTTCCATTAACTGGCTCTCTGATAGCATTCACCTGGACTCCCCTCTGAGCTCCTGCAGAAAGGAATCCAGGCCCGCCACCCAGTGCTGCTCCAGAGGCAGCCGCATTAGCGTGTATGATAACGTTCCAGGGTCGCATCTGTATGCCAGCACCGGTGACCTGATAGACCTGGAAAAAGAGGACCTGTTTCCTCATCTGGATGATATACTGTTGCATGTAAACGGTCTACAGCAGATTGTGGACCACTGGTCAAAAAATGTGCTACCTGGAGGAGAAGTCGTGGCTGGCCAGAGGGAAAATACGCACGGTCTGCAGTCCTCTAGTCAGATCACGCTGGAATTCGATGGAAATTCAGTTGCAGAAAGTCAGACCACACCTAGTAATGGAGAGAGAGACAAAGTGTCGCTTGTTGATTCAACAAGGCTCAGGGAAAGGAGGGATTCGGGAGTTGGTGCCTCACTCACAAGACCTAATAGGTATGACTAATAAAAAAGCACCCAATAAATAAAAAAACATTTTAAAACCCCCTTTTTCTCAAGTCTAAGACTTTTTCCTTGCTTTCTATCCCTTGTTTTAGGTTGCGATGGCCCAGCTTTCAGATTTCCAATCGGTTAAGTCACTCAGTGGCATCCCTGCAGATCACAAACCAGTCAGCGGGACAGCTGAGTTTGCTACAGAAGTTTTCTCTTTTGCGACTTACTGCAATCATGGAAAAGTACTCCATGTCAAACAAGCATGGCTGGACTTGGTAAGTCCCATTTAAAGTGACCAAGTCCATTTCTGATAATGTGCATTATTCATGATAGAGAGTTCATATTCTGCCATTTTTTTACCTAATAAATTCCACTTGTTTAGATTATTCCATAAATTCATGTGTTTATCAAAAGTATTTTTTATTCCATCAATACTGCCTCAAACCACATACTTTTGATAGTGTTTTTATTGTTTTTTGTGTAATCTTAGAAGTTATCAACTGTGTTTTATTGATGTCGCTTCAAGGTCTGTGCCCAAATTTATGAAGCGAATGAAGGTACCTGACTATAAGGATAAGAATGTGTTTGGAGTGCCACTCATAGTGCATGTGCAGCGCTCCGGACAGCCTTTGCCACTCGGCCTGCAACAGGCCCTGCGATACCTGAGGAGCCAGTGTCTTGACCAGGTCAGTAACAATAAGATATCACAAACTTATTTGGCTAAGTATTAAATAGTATGATAATATTATAGAATTATAAAATAATACAATTCTGTGTAGAATTTTTTGTCTGGGCATTGTTATTAAAGTAAATTTTGCTGCTTTGGGATATAATGGGTCAACCTGACATTTGGGCTTCTGTTTGGCTTCCAGGTTGGCCTGTTTCGTAAATCAGGGGTGAAGTCTCGAATTCAGGCTCTGAGGCAGATGAACGAAAGTTCTCCAGACAATGTGAACTACGAGGATCAGTCTGCTTACGATGTGGCTGACATGGTGAAGCAGTTTTTCAGGGATTTACCTGAACCCCTACTCACCAGCAAGCTGGGGGAGACTTTCCTCCACATTTACCAGTGTAAGTACACATTTCTTTTTCATTTGTTCGTTTTTCTTTGGTTTGTGTGCTTTCTCTCTCGTGGTCTTGCTTCAAATCTTGAAAAAATTTGAGAAAAAATTGTTAGCTTGTATCTGTTGCCCTGTTTGGCAAACATAATTGATTACAATCCCATTTTTCACATATTCAGATGTGCCAAAGGACCAAAGGTTGCAGGCTGTCCAGGCAGCAATCATGTTGATGTCTGATGAAAACCGGGAGGTGCTGCAGACGCTCCTCTGCTTCCTCAGTGATGTCACGTCCTCAGTGGAGGAGAATCAGATGACACCCATGAACATCGCCGTGTGCCTGGCCCCCTCACTCTTCCACCTTAACATACTGAAGAAGGACAATCTCTCACCAAAGTACTTCCTTTTTTCCCCCCTGTTTTCTGTTTTTCTTTGTGTCTTATCTATTTCACCCACTGCTTGGCCTAGCAAAAGATAAAGAAGCGGGCTTTAATGCTTTCTATTAACTCCTGTGGGATGACCGTTACATCTAACTCCATAAAGCAGAAGAGAAAACGAGTTACAGAGTTTGGTCAGACCTTTGGGGGTGCTGTGGATTAGTCGCAATCCCTCTGTGGGTTTTTATGCTTAATATTTTACGAGGTCTTGCTGTGTACGAGAAAATTTAAGCTAACTAATTTACTATGTAGAAATTGTTATGTAAACCATCAAAGAAGTTCCCTGCAGAGCAAGGAAGAGATTTTTCTACATTGTTTATTGTTAATAAGCTTGACCTGAATACTTGGCGGGCCTATTCAGTTTTTTCTCTCTCCATAATATCCAGGGCAATGCAGAAGAAGTATTCTACAGGCAGACCAGACCAGAAGGATCTTAATGAAAACTTGGCAGCAACACAGGGCCTTGCTCATATGATAATAGAGTGCAATCGTCTCTTTGAGGTAGAACATAAACTAATATCCTGCATGACTTTTATGTCAAAATGCAAAACCCACTCCTCTTTAATTTTTTTACTTTGAGTCTTACATCCAATTTTTTATGCCTATTAGATCCCTCATGAGATGGTTACTCAGTCACGCAATTCATATGTGGAGGCTGATTTGCATGCACCAACTATTGATGAACTGTGCAAACAGCTGGAGGACGATGATGGAACATACCAAACACATATGGAGGGAAAACTTCAGAATCTGCTGAAAGAGGCTCGGGAAAAGTCCAAATACTGGGTGTCATGCAGCAGCACTGATAACACAGAGCTTTACTATAAGAAGGTTGGTGTTTTTATTCTCTGAATTTGGATTTATTCCACAATCTGTCTTCATTTCAGGATTAAAACAAAATAGCAAATAGCGAAGAAGGCTTACCTTTGGCATTGTTTCTAAAGTGACTCTACGTTAGCATGATGGTTTGTGGTTTCTGTGTGCATCATCCAAAGGTGGGAGATGGAAACCCTTTGAGAAGGTGGAGAGTGTCCGTAGAAGTGGAAGCGCCGCCATCTGTTGTGTTGAACCGAGTGCTGCGAGAGCGCCACCTGTGGGACATCGACTTGCTTCAGTGGAAAGTGTGTGAGACGCTGGACAAACAGACTGAGGTGTTTCAGTTCGTCCTGAATCGAATGCCCCCTCATCCCAGCAGGGACTTTGTAGTTCTCAGGTACCAATGGCAAAATGCTAAACATCACACATTAAGCATTATCAATAGTAATTCTTCAGTACACAAAGTTAACATTTTGTCTTTATCCAAGGTCTTGGAGGACAGACTTGCCCAAAGGTGCTTGCTCCCTGGTTTCTGTATCCATAGAGCATGAGGACTGTCCCTCAATAGGGGGGGTACGAGCTATAATCCTAGAATCCAACTACTTGCTGGAACCTTGTGGTTCAGGAAAGTCCAGACTCACTCATATCTGCAGAGTAGACTTGAAGTAAGTCCCACGAGAAGCATGTTTTTGCACATGTTTTTGATCATTTTTTGCATTCGCTTTCAGCCTGTCAAAGGTGTGTGTTAGATTCTTCCTCCGAAACAGTGTGCCCTTTATTGATTTACTCCTTTTATTTTAGGGGAAGAACCTCAGACTGGTACAACAAAGCATTTGGTCATCTCTGTGCTGCTGAAGCTGCCCGGATTCGCAACTCCTTTCAGCCACTCATCACAGACGGCCCAGAGACCAAAATCTGACATCTTCTGCCAATCGTCTCTTCTGCCTCCAACTCAAGACTGAGCCTTTGAGTCTATGCTAACAGACAGAGGCCAAAATATGTACCAGACCCCAGAACTAAAGCACAGTGTATTTCGGATAAATGCTCTGAAAAATAATTTGATGCCTCAATGTTCTCGCACAATGACAAGAGGACATTTTATAGGTGCTGAGCATATTTCTTCGATGGGAAACTAATAATCCTGCCAATGTCCTCGATGTTATGATTTTATTTACCTTAGTGCTAAACTATTAAGAATAATTATCTTTAATAATAATATTTCAATAATGTATCATCTACAATGTCTAGGACATTCAAACTCTAAAATGCTTCTGAGAAGCAGTATGTGTTATTCATATCAGATTTAAAGCTATAATTATTATCTACACTCAAGTGTCTGTACATATGTATGAATTTATGCTAAATGCAAACAGTCTGTATATATTATAAATATGTGAATGGATAAAAAATTCACGTAAATTTCTTATATACTGATTCATTAATTGTGTTTGTCTTCTTGTAATACACATGGTACAAGATTGTAAGCTGGTTTTACTTTGCTTCAGTATTGACAGTTTTTGGTTTTGGTGTAAACTCATCAAACTTTGACCTCAAATGGTTGCAAAGAATATGACTTAAGGTTTGATTTGATCATACCTGCTTTAGGGTACTGGATTCTATCGTCAGGTACAAGAGACATTGTTTTGTAATAAAATGATCAAAATAATAAAACATGTGTTTGTTTATTCCACACTTAGAGCATCATCAGTGGCACCAACCATCTGGTTTTATTCTATTATTGTTTATCTAACTGTTCATTTTCTGTCTTGGCCTGATCAAATCAAAAAGTTTTCTCTCTGCTGATGTTAGAGGGACCTCTGCTGACCACTTCAGAGAAAAGTGTTGCTGCAAATTGTTATCAAGGGAGCGCATCTATTGTATTCAACCAAATTTGAATCAAAATATAACAAAGATTACACAATTAATGAAGTTTAATTTATATTATCAAATAGGTAAATGGAAATTGAAGTATCTGAAAGAAACACGTTTGTCATTCTTGTCCACTAGATGGCTCTTTTGAATCTTTTTTCAACAGAATACTTGCCTGTGTTACTAACTTTACTTTTTGACTATACACTATACTGAGCCTCTGTTTTAGTCTGCACATTTGCCAGTACTTTACTTTGTATGTTTGAACCGTAATGGAGAATATTACATAACAGAACAAAAAGGTTTTGGACAGGCTTCAACTCAATTTTTCTGTACAGAAAAAGACAAAGAATCAATAAATTGATTCTTCTTAACCAAATTCAAGCCACATTATCTCAGACTTTAATTTTTTGGATTTCATTTAGAAGGTTTTCAATTTCAGGAAACCATCTATTGGTAGAACTATGTTGAGCAAAAATAGCAACGTGTTATGATTAAATACCATCAACTACTGAGCATTTGAAAATAGGTACATTGTAAATTAATTTGCTTTCCTTAGCTGTAAATTTAAACAAGAAATCAAACTTTAAAGCATGCCATCAATGCCCCCTCTTGTGAAGCCATCCTGACACAGAAAGGCTTAATGGGGTCATGGAATACACACTGGGCTTCAGGCGCCACTGACAGTGATGGACATAATTGTTAGCTTCTTGCTGGGAGCATACGTTTCAAAATTAGGTTTGTGCTCCTAAAATGCAGTCAAATGGATGGAAAAGCTATTCATATATTTTGATATATCAGTATTTCTAAATAATTACAATTATAATGTAATTTAAAAAAACTTCCCGACCACTGATTGGGTATTCATTTTCCATTGGACAAAAATAAAATAGGCTGTATCTAATACACTGGTAATCAAAATGCTACACCATATTGACAGTACAACCTTTAGAGTCATCATTGTAATCTAAGATTAAGAATTATATTGTTTGACATACAGTAAATGACAATCCCACATACTGTTCAAGTGTATATACATGATGTGAGCAGAAAAAAGTTTCAAAATTATGATTAAATGGGCTTTACACGTAGGAGGCACAAGGTCAGACTTTATCTAATCCTTATACTTTGATGAAATCTACATTACATTTGAAATATTAATATGCATTGTGCATTTGATTAATTTCTGTATGCAATGTGGGCTATATTTAAAAGCTAGATACCAATGAGCCTGGCTGATCAGGCAATTTGCTCTGTTCCATAAGCCAGCGCGTGACCTTATTGGGAATCGCAATTAAAGTTATTACGTACACCTGTTTGTAAATAGGTCTGCTGTAGTTTAGGTTCGCTCGTATTATTCGCCTCATTCGGTTGGATTTTGATCACTGTGGCATTTTACTATCATTTACTAACGAGTTTTTCTGTCGTTCGTGTCGTTGTGTGGGTCAGTGGTCACCTGACAGCCCGCAGTCCGTCCCCGGCTGCCCCGCGCTCGCGCTGTGCCACGCGGGAAGCGCGCGCCGGAGCGGGGCCGCAGGCAGGGGGCGGCAGCACGGCGGGGAGAGCGGCCCTGAAGCGGAAACGCGCATCCACGAGAGTGGCACACACGTCCACACACAGCCCGGTGTTCGCTCCGCAGGTCAGTCCGCTCGGCTAACCGGCTGGTACCGACAACAGACCGGAGTCACTCCCGGGAACTCCTCGGAGTAGCTTCAACTGACAGAGAGAGATTTCTCTCCTGCGTACTGTTGTTTTTTTTTTTTTTCGGGGCTTTCTGTCTCTCTTTCTGTTTGTCTTGATGCTTCACAGCAGTGGTTAAACACATCACAGGGAGAAGGCGTTGAATAAGCACCCGAAACCTTTCGGTTTTGGCTGAAAATGACAAGCCGGAGACCGGTGGCAATGCCGGGCTCACTGTCGCTCTCGGACCGTCCACCGGCTCCAGGTCACGGGCACGCTGCTGCCGGTGAGACGATGCTGGTGTCCGGCTCAGGGTCTGTGCTCCTGCCGGCTGGGGTTATCCATCCAGCGGTTCCCATCCGGAATATAAGGATGAAATTTGCAGTACTCATCGGACTTATCCAGGTCGGAGAGGTTAGCAACCGGGATATTGTGGAAACGGTCTTGAATCTGGTAAGTCACAATTTCATAGGTGCCCTAAACGCTCCTATGAAATGTATATATATTCATTTTAGGGACAAGAACGCAATTTTCATGCAGAGCCCAGCACGAAACCGTTCATTGCAGAATCTGTGCAAGTAATAAATCATTTGCAATAAATGAGGACACACCAATGAAGGTGAAAAGTCACCCATGCACACAAAAGATGGGCTAAGGCTGGAGAGGCTTTGACACCAAAACCATTTCTGAAGTTCAAGTTAAATGGAGTCCCAACCTCCTTTTTTCTTTTCTTTTTTTTTTCTGATTGGTGAGGCTTGCTTGCATAGCTGTGAGTAATTTATAGACTGCAGGTGCACTGATTCAAATAGCATTTCTGTTGAAGTGGATGCTTATAGATTGGGAGAGGCTGGAGGCAGATGGGGCTTGAGTGTGTGAGTGTGTGTGTGTAGGATAGACTATAGGGTCAAGTCCACTCCTGAGAATTCCCAAAGTGCCAGGAGGTATTTGTTTTCAGTGATACTGAAATTGTCACATTTGACAGGTTTATTCTGTTCTCTCGATATAAAAGTGCCTAAGGTGATGGGTGTTTTTTTTTTTTTGGGTTCCGCTCTGCTTGTGGAGTTATCATGTTTTTAAATGTTGACTCAGCACATGAATGTGGATTACAACCTTTAATCCACAAAGTCTAAGAATCTGCTCCACTGTACAACCGATAACACAACATGCACAAGGTGAGGAGGCGACTGCAGCTTAATCTTTTGATGCAGTCTAACAGGAAATTGAGAGACTGCAAAGTCAGTTCACACTTTGCGCATTTGTGATCTGCAGGAGCACTTGAGTCTATTTGGAGTGGTTGGCTTCTCCTTGTTAGCGCACCCGAGAATAATTACAACCTGTTCTAGCACAACAGAGACCCACTTTGTGAAGCAGAACAAATTGTAGCCCTTGGCATGTTCAGACATGAGATTACTGCAGTAGCTGGAGCCGCTGACACCTTGCCCCCTCACACTTTGCAGTGCTACTTTTTCAGGAAATTCGTTCAGTGTATGTCACATTGCTGATTAAGATTTTGATTTATTTCTTGTGTGATTAGTTATTAGTTTGTCTATTCAACCCCAGCACAGATAGTGGATGTTTGGGTTATTTTCTGCATTAATCCTCTGCAGAATGCTTTTTGCTCCTCAGTTCAAAAGTCATTTGCTTGCGCTCTTAAATGTGACATTACAGCAGAGTGCTATATGCATTTTTCAGCCTCAGTAAAATCGTTTGAACTTTTGGTAAATGTCTTGAACGCCTGCAGAATGCATTTGTGCCTTCATATGCTACCCATGATTATATCCGGTTAGTCTTTTTCCACACGGCAGCCAATGTTCACCCTCTGTCACATTAAAGGGAAAATGCAGTAATATTTGGGACCCGAGTACACAACAATTTGTACAAGGATTCCCCATCTCGATTGCATCTTAAATTGTACATGAAACGTTCTAGCTATGTTATCTGTTTCCTGCTGTGAGAACATTATTACAGTTCTTTATAATTAGGGGTATTTTTCCAGGTGTTAAATTGAAAAGTTCTGACAAATATTTTACTGTATCCAATTCATAGATCAACATATTGATATGTATCTATCTTGCAGTAATATCTAACCTGGTCACCCCTCCATTGTCAGCTGACTCCACTACAAGTCAATAAAATAAATCATGTAATGAACTGAAAAACGATTGCATTACTAAGCTTGCATTATCACAATCAAAGTTGAAAAGATTTTAGTGGATAATTTGAATTTGGTTTGTAAAAATACTGTGACCTTTTTTTATTTTTAAAGTGAATCAAAAAGGGATTTTATAACACATTTACTTTTACTCTGTTTTGAAGGGAACAGAAAGGCTCTCATGCCTCAACAGCTAGCTGATAAGTCAAATGGAACGTTTTCAAGACTGCCACCTCAAGCCAAAAACTCTTTGATGCTTTCCCTAAAAATAGTTTGAGTATGAATTACTTGGCATATTTACCCATGGAATGCCATTATGAAAAGTGGCAGATGCCCTCCTCACTGTAATAGCTTTAACTTAAATGGTAGACTAAATTATTTTTTTCATTATTCAGGAATTTATTGAATAAAACATAAAAATCTCTCCATCAAAACAATCCACGTTTGTACTTAATGGGGATTCTGGATATTCAGCCCGTTTGCGTTTTACTCTGAGTAAAACAGACGTTTGTTTCAACGTCCTAACCAAAGCTAACAGGTGAATAGTGGAATGTTTTCTATTGTTAATGAATGAGCCTGGATATAACAGAGCCTGCTACAGGAGCCGCAACAGAGGGAAAACTGCAGGATCTGTTTGATTTATGAACAGAGATGCAGTATGTAGATATTAATTTAATCTCACTTCAACCACAAATTTCCCCCTAGAACAAAAGTTGTCCTGTCTTTGCAGCTTATATGGATAGTGTGTTAATGAAAAGATTTTCGTTAGATTGCGTGATGCTTCATACAGGTAATACTCTCCAAAAGGGGGAAGGAAGTCCTTTATCAGTAGCCAGGAAATATTTCTAGAAACCGCTCTCCAAACGATGCCTCTGCTACTGCAGTGCTCTGCTCTGTTTTATCGTACTTGCAGGTGTAATTGGTTGCTGTAGAGATCCCCAAATACTTCTTTGATACCAATTTGCAATAGTATCTTTATAGATCAAGTTATGGCTTTTGATGTAAATTATTGAACAGAACTCAAAACCAGCTATGATTTAAACGTGCATTTACGTTGTATTTAAATGAAAAGGTGTATATATTGAGTCAAGTTGCAAGTCAAAAGACAAAACGGTAGCCAGAAGGTTTTGTGACTCTCGTTTGATGTCTGCTTCTGCAGAAGTGCTGCAAACATGATGTCATGGTCATTGCTTCATGTTGGTGGACTGAATTTGAGAAATGGCAGCATCAGCTTTGATAAGTATGATTTAAAAAAACAATCTATTAATACATTTTGCTGCATTGCATATACTTGTATTGTAGTTACCCTACATTTTGGAAAATCTGGTCATTCCCATGAATGCAGACAGTTTTGGAGCCTAGTGAGATTTTTAGTACCAGTTTTCATGTCTCCCCCCAGTCTTTTTCCCACTAAAAGATGAGCTGCAAAGATAAGCTCAAGCCTAAAATCTGTTTTGATGTCCGAACAGTAGAGTGTAGAAGTGCCTTGAAACTAGAATGAAACATGCACGAATCATCATAATACAAGTAAGTTTATGGAACTACAAGTTTAATATCACCCTTGAAATATTTGATATTTTTGAAATGTTATGTTACAGTATTCAGCATATACAGCCAATGCGTGAGAGCCAAAAAGAAGATATGTTAAAACACAGATTTCTTGTGATTTGAGGCATGAAAGCTATGTTGGCAAACAAATGACATGTCACTGTGTTGTCACTTTTTATTTATATTTCAGTGTTTCATTTTACTACTGGCTAGATGAAAATAATTTAATTCCAATTAAGTGACTTTGTTTACCTCAATAAAGATCTATTTTGTATGTCAACAGACTAAACATTTAACAAAGAAAATGTAGTTTTACCCAACACTTTCTTATTCTGACTTTAGGCTCAGATGTCTTTATTGTTTCATGTACATGGGTAGTCACAAATGAAAGCTGTAATCGGGATAATGTGTACAAATCCTATAGAGAAAAACAGGGACGTTTTGGATTTGCTCCTTAAATAAAAAAAAAAATATATATATATATATATATTTTTAGGCATAGGCATGCACCAGTGATTTCTCTTTCCCTGAAATTAGGTCTAAAAAGTTATCCACGATATAATGTTTTATACTTAAAGCTGTACATGGAAATATGTGTAACAGTAAAGAACATTTTCGCTACCTGGAGCTCTTACCATAAATGTGGTGCATCTGGTGTCCCAGGGCCACATGTTCTGTACAATGACAGAGTTCAAGATTAATCAAGAACAGCAGTGTTTGCCTTCATGTTTTCTTGACCGAGCCTTTCCACTCTTCCACTTTGAGCCTTATGCATTAGATGGTGCCCACTCTTCTAAAATTGTGCTTCATCAGTAAAGTTTATTCTTTACTGAGTCATCCAATTTCTGCCAAAAGCGGTTTTCTCTGATCTAAGTCTTGATAATCTTCTCAGGATTTGAAGGAAAATTGAAATTTGTTTTCAAGTAATTTCCCAGAGCTGTAAGTTGACTCAGGCAGCATGCCAGGAATGCTTTTTCTTGTCCTCAACCAAGGACAAAGGGAAGGACTGAATTGGCTGTGTTCTTATAGTTTTTCCTGATTTCACCATCCAGCCACAGTTTTGTTAGGTCCACAGCTTATTTTCGTTCAACATTTTTTATGAGGTTACTTGTAAGATATTAGTCATCTTAGTTAGTACCTATAAGAAGACAAAGCATACACATCATTTAGTCTTATAAAATACATATTTAGCCCCCAACAGGGTCAGCTAGTTACCAAAAGCAATATGAGAATGCTGTTGGTACCAAAAGTAAACATCTGACTTACTCATGTGGGCCACTAAAATATTGTTAACTAGAGCTATTTATAGCCATCATCTGTAGGATCGGCATGAATACTTGGGCTTATTACTGTTTGGAGCTGGTGCTGTCGGTCGACCACATCTCTGCCAAAGTGTTCATGGTTGTCTCCTCCCATACGAATGAAGCTCTGTGCAGACCCGCTCATTTCTATGGAGATGGGCTCTGTCTCTGATCAGGCAAACACTAGTCGTATTGCTCGCTGCAGACGGGTGACAGAACTGTGGCAGTGTAGTCGGAGCTCAAGTAAAGACTGTCAGATAACTACTTATTGAAGGCGCTGATAGCATCTATGGCTCTGGTTGTATCGCTGTGTGATTATGAAGGTGCTGGGGAATACAGAAACTTTCCTTTGTCTGAGCTGTCCTTTGATCTTCAGCACCAGTCGATGCTGATGGCAGCCTTTACTGAAGCCGCTTCAGCTGGAGGCCTCGACTTATTTAAAAGGAGTGCTT